AAATCGGATTAAAATTGTGACCTCTATAGGGTCCACAGCCTTGATATACCATATTTTTACGCTATTTGAGAACGAAGGGCGGCCATTTTGTCTGTAAGGTTTGGGCCAATTTTCACGAAATTCGAACTCAGCTGTCCTTAAGGTGTAACAGTGATATAATAATACGTTTTTTTAAATCGGATAAAAATTATGTCCTCTATAGGGTCCACAAGCTAAAAACGGGATTTTTCGTAGCCATAATTCAGGAAGTTACGGTGTGATATGCACAAATATTGAAAGGAACCGAGATCTTTGGGTTATAAACTTACATTACAAGTTTCAACAAAATCGGATAAAAATTGTGACCTCTGTAGGGTCCACAACGTTGATATACCATATTTTTACGCTATTTGAGAACAAACGGCGGCCATATTGTCTGTCAATTTTGGGCCGATTTTCACGAAATTCGAACTTAGCCGTCCTTAGTGTGTAACGGTGATATAATAATACGTTTTTTTAAATTGGATAAAAATTATGACCTCCATTGGGTCCACAAGCTAAAAACGCGATTTTTCGTACAATCAGGGGCCATAATTCAGGAAGTTACAGTCCGATATGCGCAAATATCGAAAGGAACCAAGATCTTTGGGTTATAAACTTACATTTCAAGTTTCAACAAAATCGGATAAAAATTGTGACCTCTATAGGGTCCACAACCTTGATATACCATATTTTTACGCTATTTGAGAACGAACGGCAGCCATTTTGTCTGTCAATTTTGGGCCGATTTTCACGATATTCAAACTCAGCCTTCCTTAGGGTGTAACGGTGATATAATAATACCTTTTTTTAAATCGGATAAAAATTATGACCTCTATAGGGTCCACAAGCTAAAAACATGATTTTTCGTAAAATCAGGGGCCATAATTCAGGAAGTTACGGTCCGATACGCGCGAATATCGAAAGGAACCGAGATCTTTGGGTTATAGACTTACATTACAAGTTTCAACAAAATCAAATAAAAATTGTGACTTCTATAGGGTCCACAACCTTGATATACCATTTTCTTACGCTATTTGAGAACGAACGGCGGCCATTTTGTCTGTCAATTTTGGGCCGATTTTCACGAAATTCGAATTCACTCATCCCTAGGGTGTAACGGTGATATAATGATACGTTTTTTTAAATCGGGTAAAAATTATGACTTCTATAGGGTCCACAAGCTAAAAACGTGATTTTTCGTACAATCCGGTGTCATAAGTCAGGAAGTTACGATCCGATATGCACGAATATCGAAAGGAACCAAGATCTTTGGGTTATAAACTTACATTTCAAGTTTCAACAAAATCGGATAAAAATTGTGACCCCTATAGGGTCCACAACCTTGATATACCATATTCTTACGCTATTTGGGAACGAATGGCGGCCATTTTGTCTGTCAATTTTGGGCCGATTTTCACGAAATTCGTACTCAGTCATCCTTAGGGTGTAACGGTGATATAATAGAACGTTTTTTTAAATCGGATAAAAATTATGACTTCTATAGGGTCCACAAGCTAAAAACGTGATTTTTCGTACAATCAGGGGCCATAATTCAGGAAGTTACTGTCCGATATGCGCAAATATCGAAAGGAACTGAGATCTTTGGGTTATAAACTTACATTTCAAGTTTCAACAAAATCGGATAAAAATTGTGACCTCTATAGGGTCCACAAGCTAAAAACGTGATTTTTCGTACAAACAGGGGCTATAATCCATGAAGTTTCGATCCGATACATGCCAATATCGAAAGCAGCCGAGATCTTTTGGGGATAAACCTATATTTCAAGTTTCGTCGAATGCGTATGATCAACTAATTTAAATAATAGCATGGTTCCACCACTCCTTATAAACTGTACAAGTGTTCTGTGTTTTATTCTTTTGATTAGTTATTGTATTTACTATCCTGCTATATCCATTGTTATAAGTTGTTTTGTTTTTATATTAAATCTATATCTCTATTGCATACCTAATTATCCTCCTATCATAAATTACAAGTGTTAATAGACATGTGCAATGAAATAAGTTATATTTAATCTACCCTTCATCATGTTACATTTATCTGTTGTATAGGCACATTTGCTTTAAAAAACTTTTTTGCAGGCACATTTTTAAAAATTATTACTGCCACGTAAATCATGTAAAATAAAGAATACTATTTATTTTTATTGTTCTTGTATTTTTGTTTACTTTGATTACCGTATAATAATTTACTAGAATAAGCTACATGTAGTCGATGATAAAAACATCAGCACGCGACATTAGCGATTCCACCTGTGACTTATGAACTATCACCTGTGACCTCTGCTTAATTTAGTGACAATTCTAGTAGAATACCAGTCGATGATTAAAAGAATAGCACGCGACGTATGAACTATGACCTCTGTGACCCCTAACCACCAGTACCGTGTAGTAATCACACTTACACCTGATAATTCTATAACAATGGCTTCCTATCGAGTATCAAGTAGAAAAAAGAACAAAGTCTCTTGCCGAGTTTGTGGTGATGTTATTTTATTTGGTAAATTAGATATTTGGTAAATTAGGTACTTGGTAAATTAGATATTTGTTTTTAATTTAAATACACTGTAAGTGGAATATTGGAAAATAATTTAGGCCTCATCAGAACAACAGTTACATTATGCATTCCTAGCAACTAGTTTATAGTAAGCCAATTTAGTTAAACACCAATTAAAGTTTATTGTTTGTAACTAAAGACACAGTTCTCACAATACTTGCTATTACTCCAATACAGCTTATACCAGAATTCATCTAATTAAGGTAGCGTTTAGAATAATCTTTAAAACAACAAGAGGGATTATAAGATTTAAAATATACAATAAAATACTAACTACTACAATATTCACATGATTGTTCAGTGCTCAGAATTGCAGCTTGTATGTATGCATTGATATGTGTATGAAATTCAATATTTCTGTTATCTACTACCATATTATATGTTTCAATAAATTTAGTGAAAACAGATTTGTTGATCTTTTTTTTAACCATTAGTAGTGATTCCAAATTCAATCCACACAGATATAAAATCCTGTCGGCAAAAATGAAGTGCCCGTAATAAAGAAATAAACCGGACATCTCCGATCATGTTTCGGCCGATATTTGCTATAATAATAGATTTTTCAAGCATCGATCATACTAAAAAATCATTTGTTTCATCAATTTTTCAGAAACCGTTATTTTTTTTAAATTGACTAATAAATTTAAAATATCTAAAATCATGTGTATGAAATTCAATATTTCTGTTATCTACTACCATATTATATGTTTCAATAAATTTAGTGAAAACAGATTTGTTGATCTTTTTTTTAACCATTAGTAGTGATTCCAAATTCAATCCACACAGATATAAAATCCTGTCGGCAAAAATGAAGTGCCCGTAATAAAGAAATAAACCGGACATCTCCGATCATGTTTCGGCCGATATTTGCTATAATAATAGATTTTTCAAGCATCGATCATACTAAAAAATCATTTGTTTCATCAATTTTTCAGAAACCGTTATTTTTTTTAAATTGACTAATAAATTTAAAATATCTAAAATCAGGGTAAAAAAAAAAACGGCGTCTAGTGCTATTCTATAACTTCAAAAGCCTGAATTTTTCACCCGACAAACACGGTAAATGATAGAGCCTACGAAGTGAGGCCGCTATTGAGCGAGACCGCAGGCCGTCTGTTTGTATTTTGGTGCAGCCTGGATCACCCAGTTCCTAGGCAAATTTTGAGTAACGGATAGGTTTATAAGGGACTGGGTGATACAGACTGCTACAAACAAAAGCAAAAGGGAATTCCTTTGACCTCATTTTGTCGTACTTCCGGTCCGTCTAAGATAGGAATTGCCAAGTGATCACGCTTCAAGTTTGATTTGTAATTAATAACGCTGTAAAATGACCAATTTAATTACATTGGAAGGTGTATAATGATCAAATAAAGTTTCATTGGCAATAAAAACGACGGGAAGCGTTAGAACTAGTGAGTATTGTGAGATGATAGCAGACGAAATGTCGTCAACATGTCAAAACAAAATGTCAGCTGATACACCTTCTTATTACTGTAATATATAGTCAAAGAGAAGAAGTTTTATTTTAATCCCTTCAAGTGCCTGTGACGACAATATACGTCCACATGAAAATGTGGGCGTATAAAAATATATAAGCTTTGATGGAATATATTCTGTAGAACTGGATTTTCATTGAATGGATCTTCAACTTTGATAAAAGAGTGTGCCAGTACTAAATTCCAATCCCTCAAAATTTAACTTAAATAGATTCCAGAAAAGAGAATTCAAATATATTCAATAAACTGCCATAATTCAGTTAAATAAGAGAATCAAACAAAACCGAAACATGACCAGTGACTGCTAAATATCAATTAAATATCACAAAGTTTAATAGTTTTTAGATTCTAGGAAAAAAAATGACAGTCAGTGACAAAGCCAATAGTTCCCTTTAAAGTTTTACTTATGTTCAGTCTATTTAATCTGAACAGCTGATCTGTTTATTTTATCAACAAATTTATTAATAAATTAATGGACCTGCTGGGGTTATTCTAGACTTCATTATCAAATGAGCTATTGTATTGTAAATTATAAGCTTACATCATTTAAAAATATCACTCTGAATTAAATATGATAACCATTATTGTTGTTTTTAATTATATGATCTAAAAATAGTAAGGTAGACATGGAAATTCTTTTGTTTTGATAGATACAGAAAGTGTAATAAAAAGAACCCCTTTTGATTCAAATGGAATCTCCCTGGGTACTAAATTGATAGATGTCAACAAAGTTCAAATATAGTTATATGTCACCAGTTCTAACAATTTAGAGTTTATCGTGGTACAAAATTGATTACCAAAAAATAAATAACCATAACACAACAACTTTAATTCAAAAGTAACGTCAGGAATTATGTTTATTTCTCAATTGGACCAGTCCATTATACAAAAAGGTCAAGACTACTTACAATGAATCGTTAGTAAACGCTGGTTTTGGTGCTTCATAAGTATGTAAATGGCTGTGAAGAACGTCAAAACAATAAAAGACCATATCAGGTACAGCTACGGTGTAGCCATTTTTATGGAAACTAGGACTGGTAGATGGCCCATTGTTACAGACTGAGGCCGAAGAATTGTTCAATTTTTGTTTTTTCACACCACAACAACTCGAAGTCATCTCCACAATCCTCGCCCAACTGACGCGAGATGTCGCCTGCGTCGAACGTCGTTTCCGGGTTTAGAGCGCACCTGCTGATCCTGTCGGCTGAAACCAAGGAAGTGTGCAAAGACATAATCCACGGTTAAATTTTATAACGGTATGTGATTAGCTAACAGTGACACTGTTATTGCAAGACAAACATTTATATATACAAAGTTAATGAAGGAAATATTTTCAGATTTTATTTATGAAATAAAACTTCTCTCATCCTCTGATCATATAAAAATAATTAGCACGTACTGACGTAGTCTACGGTGCTAAAGTAAAAGTATGTAGTTGTAGCCGTAGGTCTCCGGTCCTACCATGCAGTCGTATCTTATAATACATGGTCCTACATGTCATGTGTAAAGTAGGCTAGCCCACGGCCACAGACAGGTACATCCAGATTCCCTAATCTGAATGACAGCTAAAGACAACTAACACTAACAGCTTCTCACTTTAGACCAGTTGGTCAACTATTCCATTATTTCATAGAGCTAGCTAAACAATACTAATAGTAATATCATATCATATATATCAGGTACAGGATCTAGTAGACCTGTATAGGCCTTTCTCCTGATCAAAGCACTGTTCAGCTTAAGCCGATTTCTTCGACTATACTTATCAAAGTGACTTTGCATCAAGGTGGTGGGGGGGGGGGTGGATGGCCGAATGGTTAGCACGCGCGCGCTGTAACGCATCATAAGGCCTGTCATTGAGTCAACTGGCGTGGTTTCGAATCCCTGGTTGTACATGACTGTCCAACCTTGTGGGTTTTCTGTGGGTCCTCCGGTTTCCTCTCACTGCTAAAGACCGCTACGCGCAAGCGAATTATTGAAATAAAATTGAACCATGTGTTAGTCTCGAAATGAGCTAGTTTGTGTCGAGTGGACGTTAAACCCATTTCTCTCTCTCTCTCTAGTCCCAAAATGACCTAGTCTGTGTCAAGTGGAGGTTAAACCCCATTTCTCTCTCTGCATCAAGGTGGGCAGAGTAGTGTGGGTGGCAAGCTCACTACTCCAGTTTCGCAGCAAATTTGTTGTCTGCCATTTGCGAATAAAGTCTGTTTTTGAAGGTCAGTAGTGATGGGGAGTCAACAACTGATGATGACATTGTGTTCCACAACTCTGAATGTAAAGAAGTTCTGGTGACGCCGGAAATGTCCAACTGGAGTGGGCTCTGGTAGAAACCATGTGTGTGTTTATACACCTCAATAAGATCTCCACTGGTCCATCTTTATTCCAAACTTGGAAAGTTAAAAGCATCTTCAGTCTTTGCTCATATGTGAGTTCTTTCAGACTAGTGTGGACACACTAGTGCAACAAAAAGCATCTTGAAGCAGTCCTTTTCTAAATATCTAAATCTGATCTGCGAATGAGACCTACAAGCCGATTTGCTTTGTTCATTTGAGCTTGAATGTGACCGGAAAACTTGAGTTTGTTGTCCATTAACACACCAAGATCTTTTTCAACCTCAGAGGTCTCTAGCGTCACTACATCGTCTGAGTTGTGTTTCTTCATGCAGTACGTATTGTGGGGGTTATTGTGACCCAAGTGGAATATGTGTCATTTGTCCGCCATGTCTCAAGCCATCCTACAAGACTGTCGAGATTTGTTTAGACCTGAGTTATGAACTCATCTTTGTCTACCTGAGAGAAAACTTTGGAGTCTTCAGCATACATCTCAGACAGTGATTTCGCAATACTTGGCAAGTCATTGATGTATACCACAAACAAAATGGGCCCTAGACAGCTGCCTTGGAGCACTCTGCTCGTCACTGGTGACCATTCAGAAAAACTGTCTTTGACACATGCCCTCTGCCTCCTGTCAATCAGAAAGTCCAGAATCCATTCTAGCACACACGAGTTAACACCTTATGACTTAAGCTTCTTGAGTAGACAGAGTTGGGTCACTACTTGGATACCAGTATCTAGATACTCAGTCCACTTGTCCAGTGTTGCAAGCAGGTTGCTAGTACATGATTGCTTCGATATGAAGCTGTGTTGGTGGCATGACAAAAGTTCTTTTTCTTCAAGGTATTCCACTAGTCTCTCCCTAATGATGGATTCCATAAGTTTACACAGTACACACGTCAGAGACACAGGCGTGGTACATGTAGTTACCAGCCTTACATTTTTGCCCGCATTTATCGACCGTGTCTGTACAGTCCCTAATATACAATCCCAGGCTTCTTGTGCTTTTTTGTCTCTAATCAGAGATACAAGATCAGTCTCTTTACACTATTCTTCATGCTGTCATAGCCTGCTTCCTTGTAGTTGCTGTGCTTACTAGACTGTACAGAATCACATAGTACATGTCATAACACATAAATGAAAAAGTTAAAATATGATGATGGTTTTTGTCAAGTGGGGATGCATGTTTGAGTTCAGTCACCATCTCATCCTCTGAGGAGAACAGCAAATCTATTAAAGTAGGATTCTGGTCACTTTGATAGTGTGTTGGCAACTTCACATGTTGTTAGATGATCACATTACTGCAGAATGTCATCTGAATATTGTGTGGACAATAGAATTTCCCCATAACATGAATACCTGGAAGAATATAAAAGAAAGGGCCCTGACGGTAAATGTTTTGCTTGTCTGCAGTACCACCCCACGAACAAACGAACGAACGTAAATGTTATTAGTCTGAAAACTGTATGTATTGACAAGGTTTTTCTAGCAATTGAAGATAAATATGGAGATAGGAGTTGCATTGGTTATGTGCCAAGACTGTATAAGTCAAATATCATTGAAAACACTTTAAATATAGTTGATATGCGATTAGTATGTGAGAAGGAATTACTGTTAGCGGAAAAAATTATAAATGTGAAATGTTATATTCTCCATCTGTGTTTTCATTTATGAATATTCTGATTCACGCTGAAGATGAGATTATATTACAGGAACTAGAATCACATGGGGTAGAAATAGCCAGTCCAGTTATCCGTCACTTCTAAATAAGTTTTTGTACCTACATGTACATGTTACATAAATATGTCATTTATTATGTAGTATATGTTTGTGCCAAATAAATCTATCTTTCTACCAAAGTGACACACAAATTGCATTTGTGTGAGTCTGACAGACAATGACCAGTATATGTACCATTTTCACTGTTGACGCAAGGGCCCCAGTGACATTTTCGTTCAGGGGCCCCCATGCAAGCTTAATCTGGCCCTAGACCATGATGACAGTGGGGCTCTGTCATTCCTCTACTGCAGCATTGTCATTCATCTAATAACCTGATACATTCATCTCATGAAGCTATATTGGTCAATCATTCTATTTGTCATTCTAGCGAATTATTTCACGGAAGAATTGAGACTGGTCATGAAGTCAGGTGGGCAACTTGATCGTATGGTTCAGTCAAGACTGAAGAGATTATTTATGACAAGGTCTCAATAAATTGCATGATCACATGGTTTGTATTAGAGTGCATTGGGATTATACTGAAGAATCGGTCCAGTAAGACTGATTGTAATGGAAAGAATGACAACCCCATAATAGGACTGACAGAAGCTTAATAGACGAATGACAAGTTCACTAATGAAGATGACTGACAACGAAAATGACAGCGACTCACTGAATAAATTACAAAGGAATGACAAGTTAACCTGGCAAATGACAACATAGGTTCATCAAATAGAATGCTAAATGTTCATTAGAAGAGAATGACAAACTCCTGGAAGGACTAACAAATCAAATTGTCATTCCTCTTATAAGTGTCCATCTCTCTGTCATTCCTCTACTGGGACTCTTGTCTGGCCAACCCTTTTCATTCTCTTTGTTTTTTTATCTAAATGAACCTCTGTCATTCTCCTTGAAGGTCATTCCTGAACTGTAGCTCTTATCAGTCTATATGTAATCTAATGAATCTCTGTCATTCATCTGTTCCTCAATCCCTTTCAATTGCTGAATAAAATATTGCTTTTATAAAATTTGTCTAGTGAATCTATTATTCTCTTATGAACATCTGTATTTCAATTTCTGAATATAACATTGTTTTAAAAAATCCCAACAAATTGTCTAGTGAATCTAATGAACATCTGCATTGTCTTTTGTCTGTTAAACCTCGCAGATCTATCGTTATGTCATTCGATCTGTTAACCTCTATCCTTCTCTTTGTCATTTATCAATGAACCTCTGTCATTCTTATTGTCATTTGTGTAGTGACCCTCTTGCATTTGTCTAGTGAACCGCTGTACATCTTTTGTCATGACATTTCTCGAAAATAACTGTCAGAATACATGTACAATTGTACATGTATATTTTTGCCTCATAATTTGTGCAATGCTTGTTAAACTTGATGAAAATCTAGAGCATAGTATTAGTATGGTTTCTGTGCAATATATCACAACAAAAATAAAATGTTCACTAGAAATGCTATAGTAATATTTTTTAAAACTTGAACTACACAGCTTCTGGTTGATGTATTTTTATACACACACATTTTCGTGTGGACGTATATTGTCGTCGCCCCTGTCCATCCGTCCGTCCACAATTTTTTTGTGGACACTGTACAGGTCACAATTTTTATCCGATTTTGACGAAACTTGAAATATCTCAGTTCCTTTCAATATTGGCATGTATTGGACCATAACTTCATGGATTATGGCCCCTGATTGTACAAAAAATTACGTTTTTAGCCCGTGATTGTACGGAAAATCACCTTTTTAGCTTGTGGTCCCTCTAGAGGTCACAATTTTTATCTGATTTAAAAAAAAAAAGTTGTAGTATATCAGCGTTACACCCTTACGAAGCTGGATTTCGAATTTCGTGAAAATCAGACCAAAACTGCCGGAGAAAATGGCCGTCCCTTGTACCCAAATAGCGTAAAAATATGGTATATAAAGGTTATGGATCCTCTAGAGGTCACAATTTTCATCCGATTTTGATGAAACTTGGAATACGTCATGTTTATATCCCAAAGATCTTGGTTTCTTTCGATATTCGCGCATATTGGATCGTACCTTCTTGAATTATGGCCCATTATTTTATACGAAAAATTGCGCTTTTACCATGTGGTCCCTCTAGAGGTCAAATATTTTATCCGATTTAAAAAAAGTTTTTAGTATATACCGTTACACCTTAATGATGGTTGAGTTCAAATTTTGTGAAAATCGGACCAAAACTGTCGACAAAATGGCCACCCCTTGTACGAAAATAGTGTAAACATCTGGTATATCAAGGTTGTGGACGATTTTGATGAAACTTGAAATATGTTTATAACCCAAATATCTTGGTTCCTGTCGATATTCGAGTATATCGAATCGTAACTTCCTGAATTATGAAAAAACGTGTTTTGAGCTTGTGGTCCCTTTCGCCACAATTTTTATCTGATTAAAAAAAGACGTGTGAATATATCACAGTTCTACACTAATGATGGTAGAGTTCGAATTTCGTAAAAATCGGACAAAAATTGGCGGACATAATGGCCGTCCGTTGTACGCAAATAGTGTAAAAATATGGTATATCAAGGTTGTGGATCCTCTATAGAGGCAACAGTTTTTATACGCCCACATGGAAATGTAGTTGTATATTGTCGTCGCCCCCGTTCGTCCATCCGTCCGTCCGTCCGTCCGTCCGTCGTCCACAATTTCTTGAGAACCCTCTACAGACTACATTTCTCATCTGATTGTTTTGAAATTGATATATGTTGTTTGCATTAGTGAGATGAAGAAGCCTATTTAATTTCAATAACTTCTGTTAATTTCTTCTGGAATTATGGCCCTTGTTTCACTTTGTTGAACCTTGTGAACACTCTTAACAACAAAAGTTATCAACCGATCTGTATGAAATTTATATCCATCATTTAAATTAATAAAACAAAGAAGCCTATTGAATTTCAGCAATTTCCGTTAATTACATCTAGAGTTATGGCCCTTGTTTCACTTTGTTGAATCTTGTGAACGCTCTAATGACAACAGTTATCATCCGATCTGTTCGAAATTGATATGCATCATTTGAATTAGTGAAATGAAGAAGCCAATTGAATTTCAGCAATCTCCGTTGATTACGCCGTGAGTTATGGCCCTTGTTTCACTTTGTTGTACCTTGTGAACGTTCGAACGACAAAAGTTATAATCCGATCTGTATGAAATTTATATGCATCATTCAAATTAGAAAAACAAAGAAGCCTTTTTGAATTTCGGCAATTTTCGTTAATTACATCTAGAGTTATGGCCCTTGTTTCATTTTGTTGAATCTTGTGAACGCTCTAATGACAACAGTTATCATCCGATCTGTTTGAAATTTATATGCATTATTTAAATTAGTGAAACGAAGAAGCCTATTGAATTTCAGCAATTTCTGTTAATTATGCCGTGAGTTATGGCCCTTGTTTCACTTTGTTGTTCCTTGGGAACGTTCGAACAGCAAAAGTTATCATCTGATCTGTATGAAATTTATATGCATTATTTGAATTAGTAAAACTAAAAAGCCTGTGGAATTTCAACAATTTCAGTAGATTACTTCCAGAGTTACGGCCCTTGTTTTAGTTTTTAGAACCTCGGGAACCCTCAAACGACGAAAATTATAATGTCATCTGTATGAAATTGTCTATTAAATTCCCCTAATTACCTACAAAAGAATAAATATGCGACAACCCTTGTCGACTGCTCGGACGATTTAGATGCTGTGGGCGTATGTTTTGTTGCCCGGCAACCTATGTTTATCTAATTTGGATGAAACTTCAAATATGTTTTTATCATAAATATCTTGGCACCTTTTGATAATCACACATATCCGAACGTAACTTCATGGATCATGGCCCCTGTTTGGTCGAAAAATCACATTTTTAGCTTGTGGATTCTCTGGAGGTTACAGTTTTTTTCCCAATTTTAAAAACCGTTTAGATATATCACTATTCCACCATAATGAAGGTTGAATTTCGGGAAATTGAAATGAAACTGCCTGATAAAATGGCCTCTCTTTGTACGCAAATTGTGTATAAGTATGTAATACAAAGGTTATGAACCTTCTAGAGGTCACAATTTTTATCCGATTTTGATTAAACTTAAAACATATCTTTATATTCCAAAAATCTTAGTCCCTGTCGATATTTTCGCATTTCAGACCATAACTTTCTGGATTATGGTACCTGATTGTACAAAAGATCGTTTTTGTTTTTAGCTTGTTCTCTATCCATCTCTTGCAAAATGTGGGCATATCCTGCCTGGCAGCCACTGGTTGTTGTCTGTCATTGAGTCTGAATCTATATTTGTATTTAGTATGTTAATATTCATTATGAAGGGACATACATACTTTATTTTTGATTTATTTCGCTATTTGTTTAGATGGCTGAGCAATTAACTAATGGTCATACTTCATCAGTCTTATGCCTGGATGTTCAAAGACAAACAGAACAGTTGGCCTCTGGAGGAGAAAATGGAGAACTTTGTATCTGGTCGTTAGTGGATAAAAGTCTTCAGAAAAAATATGTTCAACTGGATTGTGATTGTACCTCAGTTTGTTTCTCAAAAATTAATCCAAATCTTTTGTATGCAGCCTTTGGAGAAAAGATCTTAGTATTTAACACAGAACAGTTTGCAGAACCAGAACACACATACGATTATAACACAGATGAGATTAACCAGATCATTTTGAACAATAATGAGGAAAATCTAGCGGCATGTGATGACTCTGGAGAAGTTAAAATAATTAACCTTTTAGAGAAGAAAATGTTTAGAACTTTACGAAACAAACATACAAACATCTGCTCTACAATTATTTTCCGTCCAAACCGACAACAAGATATAGTCAGTGCTGGGCTGGATGGAAAACTCATTCACTGGCTTTATCCCAATCATAAGTGCTTGAATCAATTTAATATGCAGGAATTGTTAAACACACCAGAGGATGCTTCTGCCTATATGGTGAATCCTCCTTTTATACATCATATGGCATGCTCCCCTAATGGAACTTACATTGCATGTGGTATGCAGAATGGTCAAATTGCGGTGTTTAATGGGAATCGTAAAAATCTTTCGCAACTTTTTAATTTGCATGCACACACACAGGGAGTTTCTCAAGTTACATTCTGTGATGAAACACATCTTATATCAGGAGGAAATGACTGCCAACTAATAGTTTGGGATTTAAGTAAAGCTGAAAATTTAGAAAATTTAGAAAACGGATCAAGTGCAAATGGTCATGGTTCACCTCTGGACCATCGCAATGCACAAATAACCCATTTGTGTAAAGAACAATCATTTAATCATCCAATGAAAATTAATTGGCTTGATTATTTTTGTAGAAACGAAATTCGGTATTTATTAGTTGCCGATCAAACAATGTGTATATCTGTTTTACCTATATCTTAATTATACACAGAAGATTATTAAAGTTTAGTTTCAACAATAAATGAGAATACAATACATGTATAAGCTTTAATGTGAATTTTTAGTTACATTTCTATTATCTGTAGCCAAACACAAAATCCAGTGATGAATTTGGAAAAAATAATATTACAGCTACCAGTATGTTTTATATCATTTAAGAAATGAAATATTTTTAACTTTAAATATGTTTGTTTAAATTAGTACTACACTTAATTATTATTTTTTTTTTTTGTCCCCCTGCCTTTCGAAGAAAGCAGGGTACTGTTAAAATGGGTTCGTCCGTCTGTCTGTCTGTCACACTTTTTGGGACACAGTAACTCTTTCTAATTAAGCTAGAATATTCAAACTAAGTGTAGGTGAATGCCTTGATGGAGTTCGAAGATGAGAATTTTCTGCTTAAGCAGAGATAGGCAATTTGATTGGTTGATGCTTTGGGACACGATAACTTTAGTTCTAATTAAGTGAGGGTGATGAAACTTGGTGTATAGTTTCATTACATCAATACCTTGACTAAGTTCGATAATGAGTATTTTCTGCTCAGGGTAAGCCGTGCGATAAGCAATTTGATTGGTCGAGATTTTGGAACACAACAACTCTCATTCTAATTGAGTTGGAATATTCACACTTGACGTAGCTGTCTCTTAGGTGAATGCCTTGATGGAGTTAGACAATGAGAATTGTCTGCTTACGGTAAGCAGAGATAAGCAATTTGATTGGTTGATGCTTTGGGACATGGTAACTTTGGTTATTATGAAGTGAGAGCGATGAAACTCGGAATATAGATTCATTATATCATTACCTTGACTAAATTCGATGATGAGAATTTTCGGCTTAGGCTAAGGAGCGATAAGCAATTTGATTGGTCAAGACTTTGGAACATAACAAGTCTGCTTTTAATTGAGGTAGATTGGTTAAACTTGATGTAGATGTTCATTAGGTGAATGTCTTGAATGAGTTAAATGATTAACATTTTGAGCTGAAGCTAAGCAGAACTAATCAATTTCATTGGTCAATGCTTTGGGACAAGATAATCTTGATTCTATCTGGTAGAGAGGGGTGAAACTTAGTGTACAGTTTGATTGCTTGATACTTTTGAAAAAAATAAATGTGCAATTACTTAATATGTGTACTGTCATCTATTTATTTTGGGATTTCCGCGAGGGACATCAGCCTCACTGTTGGCTTGTTAACGTTTTTCAAGATTCTATCTGGATTATCACCCTTAAAAATGGCTTGAGTGTTCACTAACTTGTCGCCGCCAGGCGGTTTTTACATCTGACAGGTAACAAGTCAAACTACCTACCGCCTGCGACAGGTGGACTAAATTTTACTTAATGTTCAGTAAATTGACTTAAGACCACAATACTCACGTCCACGTCACGTACATTTAAACATACATTATGCAAGAGCAAAATCTGATTATTGCAAGTCTTAATTTAGGCTTCAGATGTTATAGAAATTATAAATTAGATCTTTATTTAAACAACAAGCCCAAAATCAACTCTGTAGACCCACGGATGGCTCGGCTACAGCTCGGATTTAAATAGGATTTCACTTATCAATTAATTCAAATATGGCGCATCCTGATGAGAATACGTCCGTTAGATCGAGGCTAAATGATAGAGTGTACTTAGCGAGGCCGCTGTAGAGTGTTTCCGCATGCCATTGAAAATTTTACTTGATAATCGAGATATGTACGTGGAGTTAACGCCTGTCAATCAAACGATCAGCCACGGTGAAGGCACATTTCACTACCATTTCTAGTCAAATATTACAACGATGATAACTATGTTCAGAATAAAGTAATTTGACTGAAATTTTCAAAATATTCTTCTTTCATCATCTACTTTTGAACTGTTATAGCAAGAATGGCCAATTCTCTGTAAAAATCTCCCATAATGTATCTTTAATTGTTCATTTCTAAATGCAAGAATTAAGCACAGAAATACCATGAAAAGCCACCATTTACACTGTTTACTATTCCGCTTTGTCGTAGGCTACAGTTACTCGCACAGTTTGGAAGTAGCCAATTTTAAAGCAACGAATTTCACACCATCTACACTTGTTTTCATCTGCTTAACACTAGTTTATAGCTCTATGGCCTACTCTTATATTGAATTCCAACTGCCAAGGAATCTTTTATGTGCACGCAAATGTATACACAGGGCCTCAGTTTTTCGTCCCATCCAAACAACTAGACAGCTCTCCTTGTCAGGCCCTATGTCTTGCATCACTGACAAACAATTTAAGAGTGTTTTGTCTTTGTGTACCTACATGTAGATTCTTTTATTATGGTAACAATGTTAATAAATATATAGATTTGAAGCCAAAGTAAAGACCTGCAATAGGCAGATTTAGCTCTTACATAATACACAGGGAAAGGTACTTTAAGAGTGCATTCCTATACATCGCTAGGTACAATGAAACTACTAAAAGATAGGTTGCCAGGCAATGAAACATGCCCACAGCAGCTAAATCGTCCGGGCAGTCAACAAGAGTTGTCAAATATTTTTACTTTTGTCGGTTATGAAACATAATACACTAAATAATAACAACTCATTAAGTATTTATCAGAAAATCATTAGAATTTGTTTGGCCCATGCTAACGTTTAGTATACAAAACATTTAATATCATGGGTTTAGCTGTTCAAGTTATACAAAATCATTGAAAAACAATATACTTGTTCGTCTCAAGACCTTAAACTCTGTGTATCAATCAAAAAACAATAAACGATTATATACATTTATAGGTGTAAACACGGTGTATAAATATAAAATCAATCTGATGGTACAATGTAACTATGATCTCTAAAGCATCCATAAGATTTTTCAAAGTGATCAAGGGCCATAACTCTGGCAGTAATTATTGGAAATCGTTGAAAATCAATAGGATTCAGTCTCATGACCCTAAACACTGTGTATAAAGTTAAAGGACAATATTGGTGTCAGTCATTATCACATATGTGATAGAACTGGTTAAACACGTTCCAAATATAATTTTAACACAGAGATTTCAATGATAGATGAGTAATACAGGTGTCATGAATCAGATGTGACGAAAGCCAAAGGAAAACACGAGTTATCCCTCTATATAACTGACTGAAGTGACGAGTGATAACAGATATACGGTCGAATTTCTGCTCACTAATAATTCCTTTGAAGACCAAAAGTTGTTATATGGGACTGCAAGAGGATATCTGACAATTCAATAAAGTAATTGAATGTCATTAGATAAGAGAACACGAGAAAAATAGAAATAGTCCCTACATTCCCTTGTTTTTATTCATTCTATACCTTATAAAAACATGGTAATGCACGGACTTTTCCGTTTTCTTTCGTGTTCTCTTATCTAGTGGCAGTCAATTCTTTTTATGAATTGTCAGATATCCTCTCGCAGTCTCACACAACAACTTTTGGTCTTCGAAGAAAATATAAGTGAGCAGAAATACGGCCGTGTATCTGTTTTCACTCGGCGCTTTAGTCAGTTATATAGAGGGATAACTCGTGTTTTCCTTTGGCGTTCGTCACTTCCGATTCATGACACCTGTATTACTCTTTTATCGTAGCAATGATCTCGGTGTTAAAATTATATTTGGAATGTGTTTAACCAGTTCTATCACATATGTGATAATGACTGACACCAATATTGTCCTTTAAAGTCAATCGAATATTAACCTTAGCTTCTAGAGTGCCACAAGATTTTTCAAAGTGATCAAGGGCCATAACTCTGGCAGTAATTATCTGAAATTGTTGAAAATCAATACGCTTCTTCATCTGATAACCTTAACTTTAGCCTCTAGAGAGTCCACAAGATATTCCAAAGAGATAAAAGGCCATAAGCATAACTCTGACAGTAATTATCATAAATTTGAAGTCAATCGGGTATTAACTTTAGCCTCTAGAGCGTTTACAAGATTTTCCAAAGTGATCAAGAGCCGTAATTATCGAAAATCATTGAAAATCAATAGGCTTCTTCGTCTGACGACCATAAACACTGTGTATAAATTTAAAGTCAATCAGATATTAATTTTAACTTCTAGAGCGTCCACAAAATTTTTCAAAGTGAAAGGGTCATAACTCTGGCAGTAATTATCGAAAATCGCTGAAAATGAATAGACTTCTTCGTTTCATGACCTTAATCACTGTGTATAAATTTAAAGTCAATCGGATATTAACTTTAGCCTCTGGAATGTCCACAAGGTTTTTCAAAGAGATCAAGGACCATAACTCTGGCAGTAATTATCAGAAATCAGTGAAAATCAATAGGCTCCTTCATCTTGACTTTAAATTTATACAGTGTTTAAGGTCATGAGACAAAAAAGCCTATTGATTTTCAACGATTTCCGATAATCCCTGCCAGAGTTATGACCCTTGATACAGAGTTTAAGGTCTTGTGACGAACAAGTATATTGATTACCAATGATTTTTTGATAACTTTGATAAAATAAAAAAATGACCATGTGGCTTTACTATGAAATGGTTATCTTTGGCTGTTTTTATATCTCACTGACGATGCATCTTTCTCACTGACAATGCATCGGTAACCTTTTTTTTTTATATGCTCCACTTCCACAACTGTCTTAATCGTCTGTTCTTTCATTATCGGCATTATCATACAGCAACATTTCTAATTATTGCATTGAAATATTGATGTAAAATCGGCTAAAATATCAACAACCAACTTAGCAGTAGTTAATGTCCAATGTTTTGAAAACTTTTAAGTGCAATTTGATCAGCAGATATGTTATGAAAAGTATTTATTTTCACCACTCTCTCACAGGTCAAAGGATAGAACATTATTTTGTAGATCAAGAAATTTCATATATATAATCAAACTAACAGTGTCCTCAGAAACCACATAATATCTATCAATTATATAGAATAGCGGATCTCAATATTGCAGGAACCAGTGGGTATTAGATAATGACACTTACACTTAGTGTGTTAAATATTAGGTGGATGGGGAAAGAGAGAGAGAGAGAAATGGGGTTTAACCACTCGACACAAACTAGGTCATTTCTTTGTGTCATTTCGGGACTAACAAATGGTTCAATTTTATTTCAATAATTCGCTTGCGCGTAGGGGTCTTTAGCAGTGGGAGGAAAGCAGAGGACCCGGAGAAAACCGACGAGGTTGGACAGGCGACCCTACTCCTTGTCACGTACAACCGGGGAATCATAACCCCGCCAGTTGACTCAATGACAGACCGTATGATACAGCGCAGCGCACACCTGCTAACCATTCGGCCATCCAACCCCCCAGGTGGATGGGGAGTACATATGCGTAATATGAGCTCGTAGGTTGTTTTTGGACGATTTAGCATGGTCGTGACATTTGGATGCGTTCTGAAGTACAAATCAATCTGGTTTTCAAAAATGAGCATAAATAAGTTAAAATGCTGAAGGAAAGCACCGCTTGTTACAGTCCTTCTCTGTATTCAAAAGTTTGAAATTTGAAATATATTTTAATATGAGATACATGTATACAAAATAATCATCTGTGATATTAAGTTACATTAAACTAATAAAATAACAAAACCTTTATAAAATATAATAAGTTTGGATATTTTCTAATTACATTAGATAAAAACTATGATAAAATTGCACATATAATTTTATTTTAAACATTTTCCTGCATGGAATTTAAGGAAATTTTTCTTGAGGTATTAAATAAGACAAATCAAGTAAAAGATGTATTTTACATGTCATCATTGCCTTAATGTTAGAATTCAGTTATCCTTATGTCATCTGCTAGCAACTATAAGAAAATAACAGATGGTGCATAAACTGAAATTGATGTCATGCGGTGGGATTTCATATATGTAGATGGAATTTATTTCAAATCCATTAAACTAGTATGGTATATACTCAAAACAAAATATCATTTAATCAATTTACAATATATGTTAATAGATATAATCAATGTCAAATAAATATAAATGGAGTACATTTCATTATCCCCCATGTTAATGGATCAGGAAAATTATGTCAATAACAATAAAACAATGTCAATTACTGTTCAAAATAAACAATGATATATAGAGATGAATTTATTTAGGCCTCAACTTATTTTCAAATTCATAAACTAGTATTGTACATATACTCATGGCATACTCAAAATAAAATATCATTTAAAAGATATACAAAATAAAAATGTAAAAAATTCTAAACAAAAAACATCACAAACAATATAAATAAGATGACGGAACACTTTCAATATCTCCTTAATGGTCCATGATAAAACAGTCAATAAAATACCCTGAACATTCAACATGACATGATAGTTTTGTTTTGCTATTTCCTCTGCTATTCCTCTTGTAAAACACAATGGTGTTTCCAGAAAAACAAGCCAACAGTAAGGCTGATGTCCCCCGCCAAAATCCCAAAATAAATAGATGACACATATTAATTAATCGCACATTTATTTCTTTCAAAAGTATTGAGCAATCAAACAATACACTAAGTTTCATCACTCTCTATCAGATAGAATTAAGATTATCTTGTCCCAAAGCATTAACCAATATTGATTAGCTCTGCTTAGCTTCAGCTCAACAAAATGTTAATCATTGAACTCAGTCAAGACATTCACCTAATGAACCACACTGATGACTTCAATGCAACTTAATGAGCCCCAAATATTAAATTTTTTCCTCCGACAAATTGAATTCTAAAACATTTTTTTATGTATTAGAAAAATAAATAAAGACGTTTGAAGTATTTGTAGGTAAAAATATTTCCTGTTTTAGTGTAAATGGGTATTAAAATGAGTAAAAGGCGCCATTCTGCTCAAATCGGTAACGTCTTATGTAAACAATGCACGCGCCATTGAGCCAATGATTGACGCCGCGTGATATGATGTCATGTGTTGAAGGCAGTCATTTTTTACAGAGATATTAGAAGACTTTCATAATACTCTGTGAAACAGATTGCTAATGAACATCTACATCAAGTTTAAACATTCTACCTCAGTTAAAATAAAAGTTTTAATGTTCCAAAGTCTTGACCAATCAAATTGCTTATTGCTCCTTAGCCTAAGCAGAAAATTCTCACCGTCAAACTAAGTCAAGATAATGAACGCCTACACCAAATTTGAACCTTCTACCTCAATTAGAAGGAGAGTTATTGTGTTCCAAAGTCTCGACCAATCAAATTGCTTATCGCTCTGCTTACCCTCAGAAGAAAATGTTCTTTACCAAACTTAGTCAAGGTATTGATGTAATAAAGCTATACACCAAGTTTCCTCACTCTCACTTAATTAGAACTAAAATTATTGTGTCCCAAAGCAGCAACCAATCAAACTGCTTATCTCTGCTTACGCTAAGCAGAAAATTCTCATCCTCGAACTCCATTAGGGCATTCATATAATAGACACCTACGACAAGTGTGAACATTCTAACTCAATTAGAATGAGAGTTATTGTGTTCTAAAGTCTCGACCAATCAAATTGCTTATCGCTCAGCTTACCCTGAGCAGAAAATGCTTATTATCGACCTTAGTCAAGGTATTGATGTAATGAAACTATACACCAAGTTTCATCACTCTCACTTAATTAGAACTAAAGTAATTGCTCATCTCTGCTTATCCTAAGCAGAAAATGTTCATCTTCCAACTCCATCAAGGTATTGACCTAATAAACACCTACACCAAGTTTGAACATTCTAGCTCAATTAGAAGGTGAGTTATTGTGTTCCAAAGTCTCAGCCAATCAAATTGTTATCGCTCTGCTTATTCTGAGCAGAAAATGCTCATTATCGAACTTATTGATGTAATGAAACTATACACCAAGTTTCATCACTCTCACTTAATTAGAACTAAAGTTATCGTGTCCGAAAGTATCAACAAATTAAATTGCTTATCTCTGCTTACCCTAAGCAGAAAATGCTCATCTGCTTAGGACGCCATCAAGGCATTGACCTAATAAATATGGGGCGCCGTTTGTAAAATAATTATTTAATTTTTTTTATAGCAAAAAACATTAGATTTAACTCCGAATATATATATTTTGATAAATATTAGAACAAAAATGGCATATATGTAAATATCAAAAGATATTGTAGCTAAAAGTCGAGTTTTTGGTCTATGAAAAACTTAAAATGTTATATCTTGATTTCACATTGCTTAGTTAAATATATAGCTAAATGTGCCGTTTTCGTAGGTATAAATGCTAAATACTAAATCACTGAAAAATCTAAAGTTAAACATTTAGCTAAATATATAAACATTTAGCTAAATATATAAACATTTAAGCTAAATATATAAACATTTAGCTAAATATATAAACATTTAACTAAATATATATATTTAGTTAAATATATAAACAGTTAACTAAATATATAAATATCATGCTAAATATATATGTTTAGCTAAATGTATAAATATTTAACTAAATATATATTTGTGGTCCCGCCAATATTTATATTATCGTAAGCGACACAAAAAACTGTGCATAAAATGATGATGAATCAGTTAACCCAATATGTTGTGAACTTACCATATTTATGAGTGATCGATGTCTAACGTTACATATATGTGGGCATTATTAACGAATTGCGGGTGTAAGAACTAAGCTGAGCGTTCAGGTACCAGATAGTACTGTGTTGTGCAGTCAATGGAAAGTTGTACACTACTACGTCATCGTTTAGTGTGAAGTCGCTTACAACAATAATTATTTTACAAACAGCGTGGTACGGTTGCGCTTTGTAAATTTAACTATATGTTTAGCTAAATATATAATTATTTAGTTAAATATATAATTATTTAGCTAAATATATAAATATTTAGCTAAATATATATTATTTAGCTAAATATATATTATTTAGCTAAATATATATTATTTAGCTAAATATATAAATGTTTAACTAAATATATAAATGTTTAACTAAATATTTTAACATTTAAATAAATATATATTTAGCTAAATGTTTAACCATTTAACTAAATATTTATATATCATCAAATCTCTTGTTTTGGTCTTAATATTCAATGCTAAATGTTAAATATGAAAATAGAGACAAATCAAGAAATATTAATATATATTATGTTAAATATTGAGTTTTTGTTGTATTTTTAGTTTAAATATTAAAAGTGAAAAATTTGCACAAAAATCCAGATTTAACTATATATATAAATTTAAATTAAATCTAGTGTTTTTTGCTATATAAAAAGCTAAATAATTAATTTACAAACGGCGCCCCATAAATAAACGCCCACATCAAGTTTGAACATTTTAGCTCAATTAGAAAGAGAGTTATTGTGTCCCAAAAAGTGTGACAGACAGACCGACGAACCCATTTTTAATAGTCCCCTGCTTTCTTCGAAAGACAGGGGGACAAAAACAAATAGCTTTATATTTTAATTGGGATTCAAGTTGAGTATTGGTTTAACCAATAATAGGTGCACATGTACACTTTTAGCTCTCTTTTCAACGGTAAATAAAAAAATAAATGACATACATGTATATTGTTCATAAGAACCATTACGATTGAGCAATTAAAAGTTTGCGTAAACTATAAATCATGATAGTAGGCACAGTTTAAACGGATAATCTTTACATTTGATAATGACCTTTTTCATATTAAATGTCCTGAAGTAATGGTAACAAGCATTATCATGAATAAACCATTGCTATAGTTTACATTGTTCCACGAAGTTTGCTTGGAGACTAATAGCCCCGTCAGACCAGGGTGGCGTTCTTACTGACCAGAAAATGCACACGGTCGTCGACAAACGTGAACATAAAGCGAGAAAATGTCCCCAAAAATTACAAACTTGAAAAAGTCGAGTTCTTACAGCTTTCCAGGTCAGATAGCAGAACCTTGGCGTTTGTTTTGAACGTGCTCAAAACAAACGCCGTGACATGGTGATCATTGGCGACCATAGCACGATATCTGGTGTTCCACACGGTAAAGGACGCCACCCCGGTCTGACGGGGTTACAATCTAAATAGTCAATTTTGTTGTTTAAACTCTACTAAATAACCATATTGATTAAAGCTTTTTTGAAAAAAAGTCTGTTTTCATGAGAGAAAACCAGCGGTTGCCAGGCAAGATATGTCCACATTTTGCAAGAGATGGATAGAGAACAAGCTAAAACAAAATCACGATTTTTTTAACAATCAAGGGCCATAATCCAGGAATTTATGGTTTGAAATGTGCAAATATCGAAAAGGACTGAGATCTTTAGGACATAAACATACATTTTAAGTTTAATCAAATTTAAATCGGATAAAAATTGTGACTTCTGGAGGGTCATCAACCTTCGTATTACACACTTTTACACAATTTGCGTACAAAGAGCAGCCATTTTGTCGGGCAGTTTCTTTTTGATTTTCCCGAAATTCGAATTCAACCTTCATAAAAAATTGTGATAGAGAATCAACAGGCTAAAAAAAATACGATTTTCCGTACAAAAAGGGGCCATAATCCAGGAAGTGACGGTCTGATATGCGCAATTATCAAAAGGAACAGAGATCTTTTAGACGTAACCATATATTTTAAGTTTCATCAAAATCTGATAAAAATTGTGACTTCTAGAGGATCCACAACCTTGGTATGACATACTTTTACACTATTTGTGTCCAAGGACAGGAGCTGCCATTTTGTCAGGCTGTTTTGGTCCGATTATCACGAAATTGCAAGTCAATAGGGTGTAACAGTGATAAATTTAACGGTTTTTAAATGCCCACATTTTCATGTGGATGTAAATTGTCGTTGCCCCTGTCGTGGACACTCTACATGTCACAATTTTTATTTGATTTAGACGAAACTTAAAATATAGGTCTATCTCCCAACAATCTCGGTTCCTTTCGATATTGGCATAAATCGGACCATAACTTCATGAATTATGGCCCCTGATTATACGAAAAATCACGTGTTTAGCTTGTGGACACTCTACAGGTCACAATTTTCATCTGATTTTGATAAAACTTGCAGTACATGTTTATAGCTCGAAGATCTTGGTTTCTTTTGATATTCGCGCATATCGGATCGTAACTTCCTGAATTATGGCCCTTGATTATACGAAATAGAGCATTTTTAGCTTGTGGCTCCTCTAGAGGTAACAATTTTTATCTGATTGAGACAAACGTTTGAATATATCACCTTTACAACCTATCAATCGCCGAGTTCGAATTTCGTGAAAATGGGCCTAAAACTGCCGGACAAATGGCAGCCCCTTGTGCGCAAGTATATGGTATATCAAAGTTGTATGGACCCTCTAGAAGTCACAATTTTGATCCAATAAGAGGCCATTTTGTCTGGCAGTTTTTTACGAAATTCAAACCCAACCTTCATTGATGTGTAACTGATATATTTAATCGTTTTTTTAAAATTGAATACAAATTGTGACTTCTAGCGGGTCCACAAGCTAAACATGAGATTTTTCGAACAATTCGGGATCATAATCCAGGAAGTCACGTTTGGATATGCGCAATTATCGAAAGGCACCAAGATCTTTGTAATATAAACATAAATTTAAAGTTTCATCAAAATCGGATAAAATTTTGAGGCCTATAGAGGGTCAACAACCTTGATGTTGATATACCATATTTTTAAACTATTTGCGTACGAAGAGCCACCATTTTGTCTGGCAGTTTTGGTCCGATTTTCACGAAATTCAAACTAAACCGACATTACAGTGTTTTAAATCGGATAATAATTTTGACCTCTAGAGAGACCATAAGCTAAAAACACGATTTTTTCGTACAATCAAGGGCCATAATTAAGGAAGTTGCTATCCAATGTGCACGAATATCCATAAAGAACCAAGGTCCTTGGGTTAAAAACATGCATTTCAAGTTTCATCAAAATCAGATGAAAATTGTGACCTGTATGGTGTCCACAAGCTAAAAACGTGATTTTTCGTACAATCAGGGGCCATAACCCATTAAATTATGGTCCACATAAGCCAATATCGAAAGGAACTGAGATCTTTTTGAGAAAGACCTATATTTCAAGAGTTCATGATGAAGCCATTTACAAAGATTAAATAACAATAACAATAAGAAGTATAAGATTTAACCATCCACGCCCCCATACGCTCGAGCTACTATCAAAACCCACAAGAACCCAATTAAGGCCAGATTGTTGGCTTGTTCAAGAGACTGTTTTTTTACAATGTTGCTAAACACCTATCCAAGCTACTCGCCCCATTAGGAACATACTCTGCCTCCTTCATTAAAGACTCTGTTGAGTTTTGTAGGACAATTAGAGAAATAAGCCGTCCTAGAAGAATTGTGTCATACGATGTAGTTGATCTTTTATCTTCGTCAAGAAGCTATTGAAGCTCTCCACTCCCGAATAAACGACCTTTAAGTACCCTTGGAAACTAAATTATCTACAGACAGCATCCTAGAATTAGCTACAGTGTGCCTTGATTCCACATACTTTACCTGGGGGATGACCTATATAAATAAGCAAGTTAGTGGTTTACGTATGGACAGTCCCCTTTCACCATAAATTTCCGAAATTTTCATGACTGACTTCGAAGAACGCGCACTCAGAACCTCAACCTTACTCCAATTACTTGGCTAAACAAGGTCGACGATACGTTTGTGATACTGGATGAAAATGAATAAACAGCATCCCAGAATTAAATTCACCATTGTGACCGAGAAAGATGGAGCTCTACCGTTTTGAGATCTTCAAGTTGTGAAAGTAAACAATCAATTGAAAACTAAAATATATCGAAAACCAACCCATACAGATCAATATATTAATTACAACTCAAGCCATCCCCACTACATCAAACCAGCGGCTGCCAGGCAGGATACGCCCACATTTTGCAAGTGATGGATAGAGAACAAGCTAAAAACAAACGCCATAAAGGTATGGCCTGAAATGTGCAAATAACAAAAGGGACTGAGATCTTTGGGATATAAAGATCTGTTTTAAGTTTCATCAAAGTCGGATAAAAATTGTGACCTCTAGAGGGTCCACAACCTTCGTATTACACACTTCTACACAATTTGCGTACAAAGAGCGGGCATTTTGTTGGGCAGTTTCATTTCGATTTTCCCGAAATTCGAATTCAACCTTTTAAAATTCTACACAATCAAGCACCTTGGTACTTATGTGATGTTATCTCCTATCGTCAGTCAACTAGAACCACCAGATCTTCATCAGGAATACAACTTTTCGAGCCAAGATACAAGCAGGTGTTTTATGGCAAACGAGCGTTTTCTATTGCCGCCCCTCGTCTTTGGAATGCAACACCTTTAAACATCCGTAATGCACCATCACTTGAATGTTTTAAATCCCTACTAAAAACTCACCTTTTTAGCATAGCATATTATCAATTTTAATTATTATATTTGAGTCATTTATTTAAGCAATTTTTAATTTTGTTCTTAGACTTTTTTCTGAATTGATTTCTTTTTAATTATGCATCTACTTTTAACGTAAATGTTCTTTATAACATACATCTTTGTTTTCACTATGCTCTGTGATATTTTATTGTTTTTCATTTTATATTGTACCGCCTATTGAGATCTATCTTGATGTAATTGGCGTTAAATAATAAATATTATTATTATTATTATTATGGTGGAATGGTGATTTTTTATAAACGGTTTTTAAAAGCGGAAAAAAATTGTGACCTCTAGAGAATCTGCAAGCTAAAATTGCAAACAATCAGTGGCCATAATCCTGGAAGTTAAGCTCGGGTATCCACGATTATCAAAAGGAACCAAGACCTTATATAGTGTGTAATGGTGATATATTCACACATTTTTCTTAAATCGGATAACCAGCGACTGCCAGGCAGGATACGTCCACATTTTGCAAGAGATGGATAGAAACTAAGCTAAAAACAAACAGGATTTTTTGTACAAACAGGGGCAAAAATCCAGAAAGGTATGGTCTGAAATGCGCAAATATCAAAAGGGACTGAGGTCTTTGGGATATAAAGATATGTTTTAAGTTTCATCAAAATCGGATAAAAATTTTGACCTCTACAGGGACCACAACCTTCACATTGCATACTTTTACACAATTTGCGTACAAAGAGCGGCAGTTTCATTTCGATATTCCCAAAATTCGAATTCAACCTTTATTACGGTGGAACGGTGATATATTTAAACGTTTTTTACAATCGGAAAAAAAATTGTGCAATCTAAATATGTGATTTTTCAAACAATCAGGAGTCATAATCCAGGAGGTTACCACAATTATCAAAAGGAACCAAGATCTTAGTGTGTAATGGTGATATATTCACATGTTTGTTTTTTTTTTAAATTGGATAAAAATTGTGACCTCTACAATTTTGGCCCGATTTTAACGAAATTCAATCTCAATAAACATTACGGTGTAACGGTGATATTATTCGATCGTTTTTTTAAATCGGATAATAAATGTGACCTCTAGGGGGACCACAAGGTAAAAACGTGATATTTCATACAATAAGGGGCCATAATACAGGAAGTTACCATCCGATATGCCCGAATATCGAAAGGATCCAAGATCTTTGGGTTATAAATATGCATTTCAAGTTTCAACAATATCAGATCAAAATTGTGACCTTGAGAGGGTCCACAACTTTGATACACCAGATGTTTAGACTAATATTATTGTGTACTAAGGGCGGCCATTTTGTATGGCAATTTTCGTACGATTCTCACGGAATTTGAACTCAACCAAAATTACGATGTAGCGGTGATATATTTAAACGTTTTTTTTTTAAATCGCATAATAATTGTGATCTCTTGAGGGACCTCAAGCTAAAAACCAATTTTTAGTACAATCAGGGACCATAATTCAGGAAGTTACGTTACGAACATAACGAACCAAGTTACGAACCAAGATCTTTGGGTTATTAACTTACATTTCAAGTTTCATCAAAATCAGAAGAAAATTGTGACCTAGAGGGTCTACAACCTTGATATACCATATTTTTACACTATTTGCGTACGAGGGGCGGCCATTTTGTCTGTGGAATGGTGATATATTAAAACGTTTTTCTTTTAAATCGGATAAAAATTATGACCTCTATAGGGTCCACAAGCTAAAAACGTGATTTCTCGTACAATCAGGGGCCATAATTCAGGAAGTTACGATTCGATACGTACGAAAATGGAAAGGAACAAAGATATGCATTTCAAGTTTCATCAAAATCAGATGAAAATTGTGACCTCCAGAGGGTCCACAACCCCGATACACAATATTTTGACACTATCTGCGAACAAGGGGTGGCCATTTTGCCCGTCTGTTTCGGTCGGATTTTCGAACTCAACCATCCTTAGGGTGTAACGGTGATATATTCAAACGTTTTTTTTTTTTAAATCGGTTAAAAATTGTGACCTTTATAGGGTCCACAAGCTAAAAACATTATTCAGTGACCATAATTTAGGATGTTATGGTCCAATATGCGCGAATATCAAAAGGAACCGAGATCTGTGGGTTATAAACATACATTTTAAGTTTAACCCAAATCGGATAAAAATTGTGACCTCTACAGTGTTGACAAGCTACAAAGGTGATTTTTCGTACAATCAGGGGCTATAATCCATGAAGTTACAGTCCGATACATGCCAATATCGAAAGGAACCAAGATCTCAGGGTGATAAACCTATATTTCAAGTTTCGTTGAAATCGGATAAAAATTGTGACCTGTAGAGTGTTCACAAACAATTGTGGGCAGACGGACAGGGGCGACGACAATATACGCCCACATGAAAATGTGGGCATATAAAAAGCCTTCATATCAACCCTAGCACGCAGAGCCATAAGCATTTGTGAACCTGAATTCCTTCAGGATCAATTGGAACATCTACGTCATGTGTTTTGCAACTTGAATAATTACACCCCATCACTAGTCAATAAGCAAATCAATGAAACAACAAAAAACACCAAAAGAGACCAACAAAAACACAAAAAGGGATGATCAGAATAACCTTGCCATTTTATGGCAACCTATCATATCAAGTCAGTAATTTACTTAAGTGCAACATCGATACTACATTCTCTGTCCCTACCACCTTGAAACAGATACTGAAAGCTAATGGCAAACAAAAGCCAACCCTTCCCATTCAGCCTAAAGGAGTTGTCTACCAAGTGAACTGCTCCTATGATCTATCATAAATTGGTGAAACTAAACGACCCCTATAGATAAACGAATATCGGAACACAGATCCAAAGCTGCTACCAACAACTCAGCCATAGCGGAGCATCTTCATAACCACCCGCAGCATAGAATCGAATGGAACGAGGTGCAGATTCTAACAACCAACTGAGATTGGGCTATGTGGTGTTTGTATCTCTAATTATTAGTGTTATCTATATTTTGGGAAATGGTCTCATCTTTTTTACCTCATTAACATAATATGGTTTTACCCAATGGCTCCCTTTGAATGCTTTCATAGTTAATATTATCCTTTGCCTGGAATGTAAGCCTATTAGCTTGTTTTGTTTTTTGTTTAATCTAATACTTCTTATTGTTATTTAATCTTTGTAAATGGCTTCATCATGAACTCTTATATACACTCAAAAAAAGTAGGGGATATTCAGAAACAATACAAAACTGTGGAAATGCCTACTGTTTTTATTAGAGGTAACCAGGGTATGTTAATAACAGGTCAATTGCCTACACATGAACATAAACAGTTCATATGGGTGGCTTATCTGACGGCCCCATTTCACTTGAAAGAGATACACTGTCAAAAGTGAAAATGGACATTTTTGATTTTTGTCTTAATAATGAGTAATTGCTCCACCAATCCTCATACATTCAGCAATACGGCGTGGCATGCTCCTAATCAACCATCCAATCATGATTTGGGGTAATCTGACCCACTCCTCTTGCAGTGCCACGGTCAGTTCTTGCAGTGTTGTCGGTTGATGTTGACGAACACGTCTCCCGATCAAATTAAACGCAACACACTAAAGCAAAGGTAAGTTAAACAGTAAATCTTATGCAAGAACCGATTGGAAAGCTAACATGGATAGGATAAACCAGCAAGCGGCAGTTTTCATCAACCCTTCCTTGAAGTGTCAAAATTTGACAATGAACCCCTCCAACGTGTATGGCGCTAGTGCGTGTCACACATGCAGCTCAGTGGTTCTGTTGGGGCGATAAGTTCTTCATCTGTGAACATACTCTCAAAGCATGTCAAGTGTCCATGACTATTTATCATATCACAACCTGCATAGGTATTTGCATTTCAATATCCCCTACTTTTTGAAGAGTATACATGTATATTAAACTCAAGTATACTAAATGTCTTTGTGGGTCTGACACCTAAACACTAAACCCACAAAGATTACATCTACCAATCTAGAAACAAGATGCATATATGTCCGCATATATGCTGTCTCCACAGATCAACTACCAAATAATACGTTTTTTATTAAATAAAGGGATGAACATCCAACTAAACCGACTCCATGGTCTAAGGCCGCAAATGGAAAGATTGCAAAATCTTATTCTAAAAACAGGAGGAAGCCTCGGCTCTCCTATGTTTTGTCTGCGATATCACTTCTGTGGAAGCCGATGTTAAACCACCAGGCAGTAGTAGTAGTGAATGTCATTGTGCTTGATAACGATACGAGGATACTTGTCGAAATGTCGTGTTTTTAGAATAAAACCAGTGATTTTTTCCCATAAAAATTGTGTTTTGTTAATGCGACGGCATAATACATCCAAATGAAAATGTGGGCATATAAAAACAGATACAAGGAAAACAGAACATCACCAGTTCTAACCTCACTACCAATCAAGAATGAAAAAAGACACGTTTCCATTTTCTTAAAGTAATCATGAAGAAAGACTTTAACCCTATTTACATTACAAAGTTTAAGCATGCCACGGTTAAATTTTTTGTAGTGTAAACGGGTAAAACATAAGCGTGCCATACTGAGTACAGTGCCAATCAACCGCCATGATTGTTTTCATTACGGTAATTTGCATAGGGACTGAATTTAGCTTTTCTGTGAATAGTTCCACATATGGCATGCCTGGCACGGTTCCGAGACCGGTTATTTTAGAGTAATGTAAATGGGTCAATTTCTTGAAATTTATTGCGGCCTGGTACCGTGCCGAGATTGGCGTGCTTATCACAGCCATGTGTAAATGGGGCTTATGTCTGGTATAAATTTCAGTGATGCCTACCAAATTATTTACAAATTAAGAAACCAGAAAATAAATGGTATGGCCTTCAAATCTCAGTTACTTTCTTTATACTCTTTTTATTAATGTATCTCTGTGCCAAAGGCTCAAACAATATGATCATTGCACCTACTATGGCAATCAATGCTACAAACATAAAGGAATTATCCCAGGTACCAGTACCATCACGAAGACCACCTGAAAATATATCAACATATCTTTAATAGTTTGTGTTGTAACATATATATTATACATTTTCTTGGGTTAATAATACTTGTGAAGTAAGGCAAAGGGTAATTTGTGGTCATAAAAATCTTGACCTACATTGGATCATGAGAATCGGTTGACTTTTAAAGATCATATCTAACCTGAGGAAGCTGACAGCTGGTAGATCTTCCAGCCGTTATAAAATCTAATGAAATAGGGTTTAACTTCCTACTGTTCTGCTCCAATTGGGCTAATGAAGACATGCGTTCAGAAATTTTGCCTACACAGCGGCACTACGGGCTACTCTTATTCTGAATTCTAACTGTCAAGTGTCAAGGGTTCTTATACGTGCACGGCACCTCGGTTTTCCATACCATCCAAACAACTATACGTTGTCCCTTGCCAGGCGCTGTGTCCTACACCACTGACAAACGTGAACCACGCCGAAAAATACTCATGTACTTCACACTTGGACCACCAGGTTAGTGAGCCAACATCTTAGGCACTGAGCCACTGCGTCTCCTCGAGCTGTTATGAACGACTAATGGTAGTCAAGAATAAAGTGGGAATCCAATCTAACTTTAAATAGTTTAATAAACATCATTCTTACCTACTATAGGGGGACCCCCTAATAAACCAATTGTCATTCCAAATCCAACAAAACCAAATGCACCGGACAGATTCTCGATTCCTAGAGTGTCCACCAACACCACAGCAATCAGTGCAATATAGGCACCCGCAAAAAATCCATAAGTACTACAATATGCGATTAATGCTGCATAACCCTTAACAAATGGTAAAATAAGACTTAACACTCCACTTATACCCATTGTAAACATAAACTCATACTTTCTTGGTACTAATCTAAGATCAGAGAACCAACCAAAAAAAATTCTTCCAACTAGATCTGATATTCCAATGATAGACACCATCAGAGCACTAGTTGATTTATCCAATCCAATTTCTTCTCCATAAGATGGTACCATAATAAAAACATTTGGGTATGCAAAATTGGTGACAGAAGTTGAAGTAAGAAACACAAGAAAGACAGGATTTGTTAATAATTTCCAATCAAACATTGGTGAGGCTTTAGTCTTTGAATCTAATAACTGTTGACCTTCCACCGGTTTTGAAAGTATTTGTGTTGTGTCTGCTGTCAAAGCATTATTTTTTGTAGTACCATTTAAATCGGACATTTCTTCTACATTAAGAATATTATTCCTGGAACCATTTTGTTCTAATTTTTCTAAAAGCACTTCTTTGGCTTCAGTTGGATGACTTTCAATTGTACTTTTCAAAACTTTATTCCTGATTTTTCTGTCTTTATAGCTTGATATGGGCCTAAAAAGCATGGCACAGACACAACAATTAAACATAATTGCTCCTAAAAGTAATAACGCTCCTCCTAACCCATACCACACAATAAATTTATTGATGCAGATGGGAAACAGAAATGTTCCTACACCACTCCCAGACACAGATAAACCATTAGCTAGAGCTCTGTATTTTTTAAAATGATGTCCGACAAACACAATGCATGGAGCGTAACTTAACCCAAATCCGAAACCTGAAATAGAAAGGGCGAGTTAATCAAGTTTAATGTCCCCTCCACTCAGGTCATTTTGGGACTAAGATACGGTTCTTTACGGTGAAAACCTGAAGACAACCCATGGGGTTAGACATTCCATCAAAACCATGACACTTGCATGAAGTGATAGACCACTCAGTTTATGCCACCTCAGTGTTTTAACATAATAAACTAAACACTCAAGATAAAGTCCCTGCTTCTTGAGTAAAAGCAACTTAGAACTTAGTGGGATTGTTCATTATACAAGACTTATTGGAAATTATTAAAAATCAACAGGCTTTTTCAACGAAATGGTAACTTTAGCTTGTGGAAAGACGGGTGACACCAATATAGAAAGATAGGTTGCCAGGCAACGAAACATACGCCCACAGCAGCTAAATCGTCCGGGGAGTCAACAAGAGTTGTCGCATATTTTTACTTTTTTCGGTAATTAAACATTTATAATACATTAAAATCTGATTAAGAGTAACAACTAATTAAGTAATTATCCGAAAACAATTAGAATTTGTTTGGTTTTTATAAAGTTCTGCCCCATGCATGCTAACATTTAGTATACAAAACTTTTAACATCATGGATTTAGTTGTTCAAGTCATAAAAATTCATTGAAAATCAATATACTTGTTCGTCTCAAGACCTTAAACTCTGTGTATCAATCTGAAGTCAAAGTGATCAAGGGCCATAACTCCGGCAGTAATTATCGAAAATTTTGAAAATCAATATGAATTTTCATCTCATGACCTCAAACACTGTGTATAAATTTAAAGTCAATCGGATATTAACTGTAGCCTCTACAGCATTTACAAGATTTTTTGAAGTGATCAAGGGCCATAACACTGGCAGTAATTATCAAAAATCGATGAAAATCAATAGGCTTCTTCGTCTCATGACCTTAAACACTTTGCATAAATTTAAAGTCAATCGGATATTAACTGTAGCCTCTACAGCATTTACAAGATTTTTCAAAGTGATCAAGGGCCATAACACTGGCAGTAATTATCGAAAATCGCTGAAAATCAATAGGCTTCTTCGTCTCGTGACCTTAAACACTGTGCATAAATCTAAAGTCAATTGGATATTAACTTTAGCCTCTAGAACGTCCACATGATTTTCCAAAGTGATCAAGGGCCATAACTCCCGCAGTAATTATCAGAAATCGCTGAAAATCATTAGGTTTCTTTGTCTCATGACATTAAACACCGTGTATAAATTTAAAGTCAATCGGATTTTAACTTTAGCCTCTAGAGCGTCCACAAGATTTTTCAAAGTGATCAAGAGCCATAACTCTGGCAGTACTTATCAGAAATCGCCGAAAATCAAAAGGCTTCTTCGTCTCATGACATTAAACACTGTCTATAAATTTAAAGTCAATCGGACATTAACTTTAGCCTCTAGAGTGTCCACAAGATTTTTCAAAGAAATCAAGGGCCATAACTCTGGCAGTAATTATCGGAAATCACTGAAAATCAATAGGCTTCTTCGTCTCATGACATTAAACACTATGTATAAATGTAAGGTCAATCGGATATTAATTTTGGCTTCTAGAGCGTCCACAAGATTTTTGAAAGTGATCAAGGACCATAACTCTGGCAGTAGTTATCTGAAATCGCTGAAAATCAAATCAATAGGCTTCTTCGTCTCATGACCTTAAACACTGTGTATAAATTTAAAGGAAATCGGATATAAACTTTAGCCTCTAGAGCGTCCACAAGATATTTGGAATTGATCAAGGGCCATAACTCTGGCAGAAATTATCGGAAATCGCTGAAAATCAATAGGCTTCTTTGTCTCACGACCTTAAACACTGTGTATAAATTTAAAGTAAATTGGATATTAACTTTAGCCTCTAGAGGGTCCACAAGATTTTTTGAAGTGATCAAGGGCCATAACTCTGGCAGTAATTATCGGAAATCGCTGAAAATCAATAGGCTTCTTCGTCTCATGACCTTAAACACTGTGTATAAATTTAAAGTCAATCGAATATTAACTTTAGCCTCTAGAGCGTCCACAAGCAATTGTGGACGCCGGACGGACGAACGGACGGGGGCGACGACAATATACGACCACATTTCAATGTGGGCGTATAACAACGTTTTTTTAAATCGGATAAAAATTGTGACCTCTAGAGGGACCACAAGCTAAGAGATTTCAAATTCATAAGATATGTAAATACCTGGCCGAAAGTCAAATGAAACAAGGAGTACTTTTTAATGGTTGAAACTTATAGGGAGGCACTCTTAGGTCTCTCTACCCCCATCCCACGCCCGAGCTTACCAGATTAGGCACAATCCTACCGTTCCAATCAGAATTAATACATCACTAAAAATCAAAGGTGATTATCAATACTACGAGGTTGTACAATAATAGCAAGAGCGTATTATAAGGATATGTCTGGATGATCAATACTAGCAACAGGTTCATAGTGTCTTGTATTCTACTCCTAACCATGCATTATTGCAGCAAACCTGATTACTGTACCTGATATAACACCGTAGGTTAAGTACAGCCACTGATAGGATTGAACAAAGGATGATAAAACAAAACCTAATCCCATAAATATACCACCAATAAATACAATTCTTCTACATCCAAATTTTTTACTCAATGCATTAGACACAGGACCTGAAATTACAAAAGATAGACATATGAAGCATGGAAATATTCCCATACAGCATCAATGTCTCAGCAGCAGCTTACAGTGATCAAGAGTTATAACTTGTATCGCAATACAATACAACTGGGTTATGAACAGTAAATGATCTTGTAAGTTCGTACATGTAAACCCACAATAAATTGACACAAGTAAGTAATAAAAAACAACCTCTACCCTAACACTGTATTTCTATTATTATGTTTTTTTTATATTTTAATCCAATCTCGTGGGTTTTCGCCGGGTCCTCCGCTTTCCTTCCACTGCTAAAGACCCCTATGCGCAAGCGAATTATTGAAATAAAATTGAATAATGTGTTAATCCCGAAATGACATAGTTTGTGTCGAGTGGACGTTCAAACCCATCTCTCTCTCTCTCTCTCTCTCTCTCTCTCTCTCTCTCTTTTTTTATTTTAAATAAAATAGAAAAATAGATTCACCTCGATATTTTCTATATTTAGTTCATGTACTGGCTATAAGTTCATGTCAATAATATTCCTCAATAACTACAACCCCGTTTATACAATAGAAAAAGAAATAATTGTAATTCATAATGTCTTAACATCTTTTACATTCTTAATAAGATAGGTTGCCAGGCAACGACTCATACGCCCACAGCAGCTATATCATCCGGGCAGGCAACAAGAGTTGTCGCATATTTTTACTTTTTTCGGTAATGAAACATTTATAATACATTAAAATCTGATTAAGAGTAACAACTCATTAAGTAATTATCAAAAAACCATTGGCAAAAATTATCAGAAATTGCTGAAAATCAATAGGATTCTTGGTCTCATGACCTTAAACACTGTGTATCAATTTAAAGTCAATCGGATATTAACTTTAGCCTCTAGAGCGTCCACAAGATTTTTCAAAGTGATCAAGGGCTGTAACTCTGACCTTAATTATTGGAAATCGCTGAAAATCAAAAGGCTTCTTTGTCTCATGACCTTAAACACTGTGTATCAATTTAAAGTCAATTGGATATTAACTTTAGCCTCTAGAGCATCCACAAGATTTTTCAAAGTGATCAAGGGCCATAACTCTGGCAATAATTATCGGAAATTGCTGAAAATCAATAGGCATCTTCGTCTCATGACCTTAAAAACTGTGTATAAATTTAAAGTCAATCGGATATTAACTTTAGCCTCTAGAGCGTCCACAAGATTTTTCAAAGTGATCAAGGGCCATAACTCTGACAGTAATTATTGGAAATCGCTGAAAATCAATAGGCTTCTTCGTCTCATGACCTTAAACACTGTGTATCAATGTGGGCGTATAAAAATAGTATTTTAAAATTTGTCGATAGCTAAAATAACTTGCCAAAAGACATATCAATCAACTTCCACGTATTATCAGGTCTTTTTGTGCCAAAATTATCCATTTTACTACTCTTGTAATATGAAATGCCGAATATGGCAGACCTGTGGTGCTTATATGCTAATCAAAGCGTAGTATTTTTTTCATGTGAGATCACAGAATAATGCCGCTATCCCGAGAATGTCAAAATGGAGTCTTAGCATTATTGATTAGCATAAAATGAGTTAGACGGGTTTTTATTAACAGCTAATAATAGGGAGCGCTTTCGGAAGGGTATGGTGTTGGTGTGTTAGGCACATTAAGTGTCCCAGTGAATGTTTCTTTGGGTTGGAAATTATTACTAAACAAGCCAACAGTCTCGAGGCTGATGTCCCCCGCCGAAATCCCAAAATAAATAGATGACACACATTAATTAATCGCACATTTATTTATTTTTCAAAAGTATCAAGCAAGTTTCATCACTTACTATCATATAGAATCAAGATTATCTTGTCCCAAAGCATTGGCCAATGACATTTAATCATTGAACTCAGTCAAGACATTCACCTAATGAACATCTACATCAAGTCTAAACATTCTACCTCAATTAAAAGCAGAGTTGTTATGTTCCAAAGTCTTGACAAATCAAATTGCTTATCGCTCATTAGCCTAAAAAAAAAATTCTCACCATCGAAATTAGAAAAGGTAAGGATACAATGAATCTATATTCGGAGTTCCATCGCTCTCACTTCATTATAACCAAAGTTATCCTGCCTCAAAGCATCAACCAATCAGATTGCATATTTCTGCTTACCGTAAGCAGACAATGTTCATCATAGAACTCCGTCAAGACATTCACCTAATGAATGCCTACAGCAAGTATAAACATTTTACCTCAATTAAAAGGAGAGTTATTATGTTCCAAAATCTTGACCAATCAAATTGCTTATCGCTCTACACACTCTCGGCATAAAATATTCATAATCGAACTTAGTCAAGGTATTGATGTAATAAAGCTATACACCAAGCCAAGTGTGAACATTCTAACTCAATAAGAATGAAAGTTATTGTGTTCCAAAGTCTCGACCAATCAATTGGCTTATCGCTCTGCCTACCCTGAGCAGAAAATGCTCATTATCAAACTTAGTCAAGGTATTGATGTAATGAAACTGTACACCAAGTTTCATCACTCTCACTTAATTAGAACCAAAGTTATCGTGTCCAAATAAACACCTTATTGCTTATCTCTGCTTACCCTAAGCCGAAAATGCTCATCTTTGAACTGCATCAAGGCATTGACCTAATAAACACCTACACCAAGTTTGAACATTGTAGCTCAATTAAAAAAGAGTTATTGTGTCCCAAAAAGTGTGACGGACAGACGAACCCATTTTAATAGTCCCCTCACTAATTTTTACGAAGGAAAATGATAACAGATTAAAATATTGTGTGATTGCTACAATGTATTGACATTGGTACAGAGCTAATTAATTGGAAGTAAATACAAAGTTGCATCCTCTTATGAACCCAATGCTTCACCCCAAATTCTATAAGCTAATTGTTGACGGAAGGACAGACAGGGTGACGACATAATAAGCCCACACTGAAATGCAACACAATCTATTGTTAAAATATCGTATTTCTTAAAAAGGCAATGTAGCTGAAGACCGATAGGCATTTTCTTTATTCTCTTTATTTAAATTACTTTATTCTCTTTATTTAAATTACTTTATTCTCTTTATTTAAATTAAACACAAAAAGGGGCTAAAAGTTTTTTTTTTTTAGAAATTCAGATGAGGAAAACAGTAAATCTAGCATAATCAATGAGAGCATCGCTAGCGCTGCAATATACGTCCACATTCCAGCTTTGATTGATATGGTACTTTTTAAAATGAAGAAAATCAAATATGAATTGGCTGTAATATGATCAGAGGCAAAAAAGGCTAGGCGTTGGGTTTGTTTTGCCTAATTTACAGACAAAATACTAACAAAAAAGTGGGTGTGACACTGCCCCAGGTGGCCGGGGCAAGCATCAAAATAAATAGTTGCTGTCTTTACGGTATAAGGAATAAACATGCAAAGTTCCAAGATGATCCATTCAGAATTGCTGACTGTAGACGATAAATACAAAAATGGGTGTGGCTGTGCCCGTGGGGTTTGGATATGGAAACAATATAAATAGGTACCACCCTGTTATTGAAATGACAACATCATTAGTTGCCGTCCTTAGACTATAAGGAATAAGTATACCAAGTTCCAAGATAATCCATTCAGAATTGTGGCCTTTGGGCGCTGAAGGCAAAACTTGGGCGTGGCTCTGCCCCTGGGGGTCGGTGCATTTGCCAAAATCAATAGTTGACACCCTTAGGCTATAAGGAATATATATACCAAGAACAAAGTTGATCCATTCAGAATTCCGGCCTGTAAACGATAAACACAAAAATTGGGCGTGGCTCTGCCCCTGGGGGTCGGGACATGCAGTTGTCGTGCTTAGGCTATAAGGAATACATATCCCAACTTCAAAGACACTCACAGAGACACAACGAAAAAATGAGTCTGGCTCTGCCTTTGGGGTTGGGCAATCACCAAAAAACAACACGGAGCATCCTTAGGGTATAAGGAATAGGTATGCAAAGTTTCAAAAGGATCTGTTAAGAATTGCAGCCTGTAGGCGACACAAACATTGGGCGTGGCTTTGTCCCTGGGGGTCGGACATGCACCAAAAATAATAGAGGTTAGCCTTAGGGTATAACGAATAAGTATAAAAAAGTTTTGAAGACGATCGATTAAGCATTGCAGGCTGTAAGTGACATACAGACACACAAAAAGAAAATAGGCGTGGCTCTGTCCCGGGGGGTTGGGCATTCACCACAAACAATAGGGATGTTCCTTAGGATAGAAGGAATAAGTATGCAAAATTTCAAGGTGATACATTAAGATAATGCGTTCTGTAGATGACAAACAAATAAATACAAGAAATGGGCGTTGCTCTGCCACTGGGGGTCGGGCATGCACCAAAAACAATAGGGATAAGGGATCATCCTTTGGGTATAAGGAATTCATATGAAATTTTTTCAAGACAATCGACTAAGCATTACAGGCTGTAAGTGACATACAGACACACAGAAAGAAATTGTGCGTGGCTCTGTCCCTGGGGGTTGGGCATTCACCACAAACAATAGGGATGTTCCTTAGGATAGAAGGAATAAGTATGCAAGGTTTCAAGGTGATACGTTAAGAAATGCGGTCTGTGGAAGACAAACAAATAAATACAAGAAATGGGGTGGCTCTGCCAATAGGGATCATCCTTAGGGTATAAGGAATAAGTATACAAAGTTTGAAGAAAATCGAGTAAGAATTGCGCCCTTTAGGTGACCCACAGACACACACACCCACACACACCGGGGCGACGGCATAATGTGGACGTATAAAAATGCTTTAGGTGGTATGTAAAAACTTGTAGTGCATCCATAAAATTTTGAATTTAAAGAAGACTAGGTAAAAGAGCCAATCTCCATGAAGAATCCCCAGCCAACCACTCTTTGTATTGCACACATAACCATAGAAATAGAAATTAGTATATGTTAAGTTAGTCTCAGAATGATCGCAAGTTGTTTAGCAGTGTAGCACCCTTTAATAAGCAGTTACTGTATGGATGGAGAGAAAATATTTGAATATACTTACACATTCCCATCATAAAGGTTGTTGTTACAGCTTGTACAGAAGCTAATGCTCGGGATGTTGTATCAAAACGATGTTCAAACTCCACAAATAATACACCAAATGATTTGATACCTCCTACGGCCAATATATGCATACCAAAACAACCTGGAAAACGCAAGTTATTTAACGCTACAAATTTGACAAGCATAATATTGACAATAAATTATTTTGAAGATTCAAAGCAGAAAAATGTCTGAAGCTATGTGGTAAGCTATATTTCAATTTTAACCTTATCCATACGTAAGTTAGTAAGAAAAGGAATTTATACATAATGAAACAGATCAAGTGAAGTGAAGTTAAGTTTAACGAAATGAAATGAAATATGCATAAAATTCTTCTCTTAAAGATAGGTTGCCAGGCAACGAAACATACGCCCACAGCAGCTAAATCGTCCGGGCAGTCAACAAGAGTTGTCGCATATTTTTACTTTTTTCGGTAATGAAACATTTATAATACACTAAAATCTGATTAAGAGCAACAACTCAGAAAATCATTAGAATTTGTTTGGTTTTTATAAAGTTCTGCCCCATGCTAACGTTTTGTATACAAAACTTTTAATACTGTATCATGGATTTAGCTGTTCCAAGTCATAAAAATTCATTGAAAATCAATATACTTGTTCGCCTCAAGATCTTAAACTCTGTGTATCAATCTGAAGTCAATCGGATATTAACTTTGGCCTCTAGAGCATCCACAAGATTTTTCAAAGTGATCAAGGGCCATAACTTTGGCAGTAATTATCAGAAATCTTTGAAAATCAATAGGATTCCTCGCCTTGTGACCTCAAACACTGTGTATAAATTTAAAGTCAATGAGATTAACTTTAGCCTTTAGAGCATCCACAAGGTTTTTTGAAGTGATCAAGGGCCATAACTCTGGCAGTAATTATTGTAAATTGCTGAAAATCAATAGGCTTCTTCGTCTCATGACCTTAAACACTGTGTATAAATTTAAAGTCAATCGGATATTAACTTGGGCCTCTAGAGCGTCCACAAGATTTTTTGAAGTGATCAAGGGCCATAACTCTGGCAGTAATTATCGGAAATCGCTGAAAATCAATAGGCTTCTTCATCTCATGACCTTAAACACTGTGTATAAATTTAAAGTTAATCGGATATTAACTTTGGCCTCTAGAGCGTCCACAAGATTTTTTGAAGTGATCAAGGGCCATAACTCTGGTAGTAATTATCGGAAATCGCTGAAAATCAATAGACTTCTTCGTCTCATGGCCTTAAACACTGTATATAAATTTAAAGTCAATCGGATATTAACTTTAGCCTCTAGAGCGTCCACAAGATTTTTTGAAGTGATCAAGTGATCAAGCAATTGTGGACGCCGGACCGACGGACGTGGGCGACGACAATATACGACCACATTTCAATGTGGGCGTATAAAAAGTAAGGATAAGTTTAGTGTGCTAAGAGGGTAATTTTGTCCAGACAAGCGCTCAATGGCCTACTGTTATTTTGTATTTTGTACCTTTGGTTTCCTGTATCATACAATCAACTAGATGCTCTTTCATGCAACACGCTTTGTTCTGCACTACTTACAAGTGCATATTATATCGGAATATCTCACAGAATTTTCTCTGTCAACACCAGGATAAAAACTTAGACTTTCATGTTAGTGAGCCAGCTCCTTAATGTGGCTACCTGAAATTAATGCAATCAACAGAAATTTATTACAGGTGCCAATGTGACCTGCTGTATCATCCTGTATAAATTGATTTCCATTCATTTGTAAAATATTTGAACAAAGTTATTACCATACCAACAACAGTCATCCAAGCCCAGCCCTTGTCAGTTGGCATCGTCGACTCAATTCCTTCTTCAATGTAATATTCAGAATCATCCATAAAACTCATGGAGCCAAATTCTGTCATCACTAATTCCATAGTCCTTTGATTTTGATCGTCTAAATTTTCTATTTTATTACTGCCATCCATGTCCATGATGCCACAATTATTTTCCCTATTTAACCCTTGACTATTGCCATCACTAAACTTAGCTTCTTGTCTTTCACTCAAATGTAAAATGGCTTCTTTATCAAGTTTAATTTCTGCATTTTTTGACTCAAGGATGTCTAGCTCAGTTGACTCCATGATTTTGTCTGTAGTCAGTATAGTGATCTAATTAACTGCTCCACCTATCACTGAATGTGTTTCATTCTATTGATTATTTCAGAAAGCATGTAAGTTTCATTAAAATTTACACTATGGCAATTTCATCATAACCATAATTTAACAGTAGACAGAAATCTTTCATGTATAAAGCTGACCGGATTTCTGAAATATATTTAAAATTATGTAAAAAATAATAATTTAGATGCATGGCGTACTCAGGATTTTGATGGCAGATAGGAAATAGACACCAAAATTATCAGCAAAATATTTTCTCTTTAATAAGAGCTTTTTTTCAATATAAATTTTATATCACCTTTTCAATTCTCTAGCATAGGGCAAAACGTATAGTCACTCACTGTACAATAGGGACCTTTCGCATCGGTACAAAAACGAACAGGAAAATGAAGATATGTGAAGAACTAAGTGAAGCCAATTTTTCCCAGCCTTCTTAGCAAATCCTGACATCTCCTACAATTTTATCAAACATGCATTATGCAAGAGCAAAATCTGCTTTTACAAGTCTTTCTTTAGGCCTGAAATGTTATCTAAATTATCAATTAGACATTAATTAACTTATCCAGACCATAATAAACTCTCGATGTCAAGGCTAGCCTTCGATGTTGGCTGGATTAGATTCCTATATGCCGCTTAACGGCCATTGATAATTAAATCAAAACTGTGGATAATCAAGACTATGCTGTTTATATTAATGATTTTAGTAATGATGACCGAGACTATGCGAAAATTTCACCCGTTTCGTTCTCAGCTCATAGTGGATCAATTTGACTGAAATTTTCAGCAAATTACCTTTACACTATCTAGTTTTTAACTATTATAGCGAGAACTGCCATCTCTTTATCTTATCTCCCATAATGTATCTTTAATCTTTTTGACCCACCAAAATAGATTGCCAAGGCAGTGGCTTTATATCTGTTATAGCTGAAACTCTTTAGATATATACATGTACATGTACTACTGTTTGTATAAATGTATTACACTGTGTGTACATCTATGTGCCAAATGTATACGATTATGATTATGTCTAAATGTTGGTGTATCTGTCAGTGTCCTTAATGGATGTTTTGATGCAAAAAATCATCTTATTTTATCTTATTCCAGAGTATTAATAAGTATTATCACCATTGTTCATTAACTGGGCATTCATGGTTGATGTAACTCCCATTCCAGATGCCCTAACAATAACAGTAACCATGCTTTACCCACATCAGCCGTTATTTCAAATTATAAGACAATAATTTATATGGATATTTTATAATATACAGATCGGATTATAATTTTCGTCGTTTGAGGGTTCACAAGGTTCTACAAACTGAAATAAGGGCCTTAACTCTGGAAGCAATTTACAGAAATTCTTGAAATTTGACTGGCTTTTTTATTTTACTAATTCAAATAATGCATATAAATTTTATACAGATTGGATTATAACTTTTGGTGGCACTGGAGGTAGTCATTCACGACACGAGCGCTGTGGACACGGGCATTATCATCTTGGAAGATGAAACATCGACCTGCACAATGAGCAAAGGGCAGAACTATCGGTGCCAGGATGTGGTCACAGTGGTACACACCAGTGAGACTTCTTTGAACAATATGCAAGTCCATTCTGCCAGTCATGGTGATTCCTCCCCTCATCATAACAGACCCATGCCCGAATCTGTCATGCTGTCTGACGTTAACATGATGCTCATTTACACGCCTCCAAACGCGGGCACGCCTATCTTTGAAATCCAGAGTAAATCTGGACTCATCTGAGAACATTACACGCACCCATCGACGATTACCCCAATTTCTACACTGCCTACACCACACCATTGACACCTGCTTAAATAACGATAAGAGTTATGTCCCTTTATTTTCGGGAAGAAAATGTCCGACAACTAAAATTTTGAAATCCCATCACTGCAACACACAGTCGTCGTGCATGCAAATTGGCTGCATGTAGGCGATTTCTAATCGTTTGGGGCGTAACTCAAATTCCTGTAACTTGGTACAAGTTTACAGAAAGCTGATTGGCCATTTGTCCTCGATTTCGCAGGACCTGTGTACGAATGTATCGATCCTGGGCTTGTGTTGTGGCTCTAGGACGACCTGAACAAGGTCTATCATCAGCATTGTGTGTTTGTTGGTACTGGTTCCACAGTCTGCTGATCACAGACTGTGACACATTAAGCATGTTGGCTACTGCTCGCTGTGTAGTAACCCATTTGAAGCATGCCAATAGCACGTAGACATTTATCATGTTGAAGACGTCTCATTACAAATTAAACGTAACACACTAAAGCAAAGATACGCTAAACAGTAAATCTTATGCAAGAACCGATAGGAAAGCAAACATGGATAGGATAAACCAGCAAGCGGCAGTTTTCATCAAGCCTTCCTTGAGGTGTCAAATTTGACAATGAACCCCTCCCACCATATGGCACTATGGGGCGACAAGTTCTTCATCTGTGAACATACTCTCAAAGCATGTCAAGTGTCCATGACTATTTATCATATCACAACCCACATAGGTATTTGCATTTCAATATTCCCTACTTTTTTTGAAGAGTATATTTATGAAGTTAATGATAACATGAAGACCATATTTTTTACTTCATTAATTATATTTTTAAAGATAGGTTGCCAGGCAATGAAACATACGCCCACAACAGCTAAATCGTCCGGGCAGTCAACAAGAGTTGTAGCATATTTTTACTTTTTTCGGTAATGAAACATTTATAATACACTAAATAAAATCTGATTAAGAGCAACAACTCATGAAATAATTATCAGAAAACCATTAGAATTTGTTTGTTTTTATAAAGTTCTGCCACATGCTAACGTTTTGTATACAAAACTTTTAATATCATGGATTTAGCTGTTCAAGACATAAAAATTCATTGAAAATCAATATACTTTTTCGTCTCAAGATCTTAAACTCTGTGTATCAATCTGAAGTCAATCGGATGATAACTTTAGCCTTTAGAGTGTCACAAAGTGATCAGGTGCCATAACTTTGGCAGTAATTATCAGAAATCGTTGAAAATCAATAGGATTCTTCGTCTCATGACCTTAAACACTGTGTATAAATTTAAAGTCGATCAGATATTAACTTTGGCCTCTAGAGCGTCCACAAGATTTTTCAAAGTGGTCAAGGGCCACAACTCTGGCAATAATTATCGGAAATCGCTGAAAATCAATAGGCTTTTTCGTCTCAAGGCCTTAAACACTATGTATAAATTTAAAGTCAATCAGATATTAACTTTGGCCTCTAGAGCGTCCAGAAGCAATTGTGAACGCCGGACGGATGGACAGGGTGACGACAATATACGACCACACTTCAATGTGGGCTTATAAAAAGTACTTAAATTATAGATCCCATACTATGGGCCATAGCACATTGCATAGCCTATGCATGAACTGATATTTGATGTTATTATTTTGTAATAATTGTAATTTAGACAGCGACTTGAAATTTTGAGACAACTTTCCTATATTTATGAAGTTAATAATAATTATAACATGAATACCATATTTTTTACTTCATTTCTTATATTTTTAAAAAGTACTTAAATTATAGATCTACAGATTTTCTTGAAAAAATAAAACTACTTTTTAGTTTTGTGTCCATTATTATATTTGA